GGGTAAGTGCTGGACGCAGACTGGGGGCGGAAGCGGCTGCCAAGGCTCCAGCGCCCTGTGCCGTGCGCCGCTAGTTCTGGAAAGGCTGCTGGTTCACAGCCTCCTGGGCCACGTGGGGTGGCAAGATCGGCAGGGAGAGGCCGGCGGGGCAGAGCCCTCACCTCTTCCCACTCACTGCCACACAGCCGCACTGCCCGCCGGCCAGCCCCACGCGGGAGCCAGGCGGCCCGGGGTCAGGCCCTGGCTTGGCACTTGGGTGCTGGGTGGGACAATTAAACTCTCCAGGGCTCAGCTTCCTGCTGTACACAGCAGGTGCTCAGTAAATGGCTCCTATCATCACCCATGTGCTCAGGAAAGCAGGGCCTGGGCCTTCGGGAGGGGGTGGGGCGGGGCCCCTCCCAGGACACCCCTCACCCTGTGCACCACCCAGTGAGGAGTGAGGGAGGCTCCGGGGTCTCCGTCCTGGGGGGCACTGCTGTCTGCACCCACCAAGCCCTCTCTGCTGGGCCCCTGCCGCTGTCCCCAGCCCCTTCCTGCTGCGGGGATCACACCTGTGCACACCTACACCCCGCAGGCTCCCCACTCAGCACCTGCTTGCGTGGGCCCCTCCCTGGGGGCGCCGCCCCCCGTCTGTGGCTTTCTGGGTCTCTAGGGGGCTGTGACATGGCCAGGCCAGTGCAGCCATCAGCCAGACCCTCATGTGGTGGCAGGAAGGCCAGCCGGAGCCAGGCACCACGCTGGGGGAGGGGCTGTCCCAGGGGAGGGCCCGGGCACCCCAGAAACCCACCCTCTTCCTCCGTAAGTGTCCCCATTCACTGAGCCTGCTCTGAGTGGGACGCAGGACCCTGGCTGTCCTCATCTCCCGCATCCCGCTGTGTCTCCTCTGGGCCTCAGCTCAGAGGTGCTGTCCCCCTACCCCAGGCCCGAGACCCGGCACCGGCCCGTCTGTGGCAGGAAGTCACAGTCCCCCGAGACACCCCCGTCCTACTCCCTGGAACCTGTGGCAGAAGGGACTTTGCAGCTGGGATTAGACTGAGAATCTTGAGGTGCCAGGATGCCCGGTGCCCAGTGCCATCACAGGGCCCTTATGGGAGGAAGGCGGGGGCGGAGTCGGGGGATGTGACGACGGGACGAGAGACGCAGTGCTGTGGCCAGGAGCCAAGCAGCGTGGTGGCCTCTCGAGCTCGTACGGGCGGGAAATGAACTGTCACTGGAGCCGACACCTTGGTTTCAGCCGGATGAGACCATCTGGACTTCTGACCACCAGAGCTGTCATCGGCCTGTGCTGTTTTGAGTCACTGGGTTTGTGGTGATCGGTTACAGCGGCTGTGGGACACCGATACCCTCCCTATGCCCCTGAGTGTGTGGCATCATGGCCTCAGCCAGAGCCCACTGTCCCCTGCTGGGACCAGTGCGGTAGCTGACTGTGCCTGGCTCTGCCCTCACTGGCTGTGGGACCTGCCTGTCCCCCTGAGACCTTCCCCTGAATCAGTGCTGGTGGGACAAAGGCCACTCCTGGGCTCTCTCTGGTGGTCACGGTCTTGGTCCTCGAAGGGACCCACAGGTCCACACCCTCAGCCTCTGAGCCTGGCTGCAGTGCAGCGTGAGTGCCCAGCGAAGGTGGGCCTGCTGCCGGATGCCAGGCTCAGCACGTGGTCACACGGAGGTGAGCCCAGAGGTGAGCAGGCCCCCGCTGCATGCGGCCGGCTGTGGAAACCTCCGGCTTCCCTGGGCCCCCACTGCGGTCCAGCCTCTGAGAGGTGAATGCCCCACACGGGAGCGTCCAGCCCCACCCGTCCCTCAGTCTGCCCTGCTGTCCTCACAGCTCTCAGACAGCACCTAAGAAATTTAAAGATGAGAAGACAGAGGTTCAGAAAGGACCCCAGTCAGGCAGAGAGCTCCCTTGGAAGAGGGGTCTGCTGGGGAGGAGAGGCAGGTGTAGGTGTGGAAGCCCACCCGGCTGTCTGTGTCCTGAGACAACCACAAGAGCATCTGCCACGCCTCCCACGGACCAGAGCCCACGGCGGCAAGGAGCCCTCCCTCCACCCAGGCCGCAGCACCAGGCACCACCGTGACCCCGTCTTGCAGACAGAACGCTGAGGCTGAGGGTGGCGGCTGCCTGTGGGGTCTGCCCCTCCGCTGTGTCCGGCCCTGTGCTGCTGCGGTGTCTGCCGTCCTCCCCGAAGGGCCCCTCTGCCTCCCTTCCAGACGTGCCTGCCCCAGCGTGGCACTTTGGAGGAGGCCTCGCACTGGGGGTGCCTCCGGTGGGCGGCTGCAGACGTCCCAGGGCCGGGGGTTGCTGTGGCCGCTGGCAGCTGGGGAGGAGTGTGGCCAGCTGGCCACCCGGCCGGACCCAGCAGGCTGCCTGGTGAGCCCCACACAATTTTTCACCCCATATTTTTCCAATAAAAAAGCAGTTAGACACCAACCGCAGACTCACGGAGGGGCCATCTGGCCGCGTGCTCCGGAGCCTTCTGGCAGCGCTCGCTGCCTCCCGCCAGCTGCCAATGCTGGAGCGCAGGGCGGCGGCGGCTGGCGGCCTCCGGGGCAGGGTCCAGAGGGGGAGGAGGTGCTGGGGCACAGTGGGACGGCGGTGAGGGGGGCTCCTGTCTGTCCACTTGGAGGGGAAACGTCCCCAAGTGTCTGCACCGTGACTCGAAGCAGAGGCCAAGGCAGGTGGCTGGGGAGTGGTGGCCGTGGGGGATGGGCAGTGCAGAGGGGCCACCGGCCTTCCTCCAGGGCTGTCCTCGGCTGGTGCTGGGGAGGGGCCCCGGTGGCCTGCACAGGTGACCCTGGACGCGCTCGTGCCTGGCGGGGCGCAAACTCCACCCTAGTCCCAGGGGCTGCTCCCCGCACTGACGCCCCAGCCCTGCCACGCGACAGTCCCGGCTCCACGGTGGGGCAGGGCGCAGAGAGCCAGGCCTCTGTCCCCGTGTCTTGGTGGGGACAAGGAGCAGGCGGCAGGGAGGCCTGGCGGGTGGCTGAGGCTGCTCCTGCCCTGTGCCTGAGTCCCCACCAGACACTGGGTGCCAGGGGTGGGGCCACGCCCCACCCAGGCCACACGGGGGGCTGAGCGAGTTGGCGCACCTGGGCACAGCGCAGGCAGGTCTGTGGCTTCATTTGCTTTCGCCAGGGCGGGTCCCTGGATCGGGGCAGAGAGGCAGCGCTGTGGGAGCCCCAGGCCGGGGACCAGGAACACGGCACTGGCCAGGTTTGCCGGTTCTGTCTCTGTGACGCGGGGCTGTGTGCCGAGGGGCCGTGCCCACAGAGGAGATGGGTGCCGCACAGCCGCTCCGAAAGCCACCGGGGCCGGCGTTCTCCCCCAGCTGCACAGGGGGCCTTGGGAAGAAGGAAGCTGCCAGTCTGCAGACTGCCCCGACCCCATTCTAGAACTCCCTCCTGTCGTCCCCTCGTCCCTCTTGCCCAGACTGGCACAGCCCAGGGAGACTGGTCATGTCCTGGCGGGCACACAGGAGCCTGCCTGGGGCAGTGGCCGCTCAGCTTCTTCTCTGGAAGGCGGGGTGAGGGTGGGGGCCCCGGCAGCCTTCCAGCCCCCAGAGTCCCCTCCCCTCCTCTCTCTCAGAGCCGCCCTCGGCTGTGCAGAGCGTTTTCCCCGAAAATTGGTTTTAAATTAAAGCAGGTGCTGAGGGGACGAGCCGGCTCAGCACTTTCCCAGGTGCCCATAATCTAATTTCATTAACGAGATCAGGACGATGATGGCTCCTGTCTGTGGCTGGCGGGGAGCCGCCGGGCAGGGGCTGGGTGCGGCCGGCGGCTCCTTGTGGGGTCCCCCCCGTGCGTCCCCGACACTGTCCACCCACGGGATGGGTGAGAAGGGGGCACACTGCGTGGAGACCCTGTGGCCGCAGCAACCCAGGCACCTGAAACCGCAGCCCCACCCTGGCCTGGGCGCTGGTCCACACGCAGCCACCGCACGGAAGGAGCCAGCACAGACCCGGCCCCGGGTCTCCATGACGACGTCCGGGCATCTCAAACCCCAGGCCTGCTCCATCCCGGGCCACCTCGGTGCGCTCCGACACCCCGGCCCCCACCGCCCTTGGCCACGAAGCCCCTGGGCTCAGAAAGGGCCTGCCGGGGTCTCCCCACCGTGACCAGACACAGGCCACGGCAGACGCCCCTTAGTCCGCCGCACAGACCTGCCCACGCCGAACGCCATTCCACCTCGCGGAAACTTGCCTGAAAACCAGAGTCAGCATCCAGCCTCTACTGGCCTTGGGCAGAGCGCCCTCGCGCACACGGCCCTGCCTGGGCCTCGGCTGTCCCCACAGACCCACGTTCTCACTGCCCAGCCCCCAGGTCTCTACAGAGCGGAGCGGCTCCCGGCCAGGACGGGCAGCCCCTCCCCTCTGCACACGGGGCCCACAGATGACCAGGGATGGGGGGCCCTGCACCCCGGGGGCTGGTGTCCAGCCTTGGCCTCGGACCTGCAGTGTGGACAGGTCCAGGAGAGTCCCAGCAGGCTCTGGGCCTGGAAGGAAGGCCCCAGGGCAGGCCTGCCACGGCGCTTCCGAAAGGAAGTGGCTCCCGGTGGCTATTCCTGAGCTAAACCGAGCTGCGTTTAAGTGCTGGATTAACGGGGCTTTATCCTGCTGGAACTTGGAGGCTGACCGTGACGTGCTAATGTGCTGCCATCGGCACGAGTCTCCGCTTCCTGGGCACGTTTACGGCCCTGGCCGGGAAGCCCCAGCGACACGGCAAAGCCCTGGCCCCTCTCAGGGCTCAAGCCCAGCCCCCCGCTGCGGCCAGGAGCCGGGGCCGGGTGCACCAGGCCACCCTCCCTGGGGAACCTCTGCCCCCCGGGGCTGCATTCTGTGGTCAGAGGGGACTCGGGTGGCCCACGGCCCTGGTGCCGCCACACCTGAGGAGGCCACAGCCCTGCACGTCCACTGGCAGGGAGAAGCCCCCACAAAACCCGACCTGACGCCTGGGCCCCAGGCCCAACCCGGCCCGAGTCCAGGAGAGGAGAGAACTGGGCTTACCTTGTCGTCCAAGCCGCTCTCGCTGTCACACTGCGGGACAAAGAAGAGAGCAGTGAGTGAGGGCCCTGCACTCCGCGGCACCCCCCGCCCGGGGCTCGGGGCGGCCAGGTGTGGGGGCCGGTGTCGGGGGATGTCCGCAGGCCAGCGGCCCACGCTGCAGGGGCTGCACTGGCTGGACCCCGATCAAAGTCCTTGGGTGGACGGACAAAGAGGCATCACCAGTCCGACCTGCCCCTGGGGTGCACCGGACCCTGATCCCCCAGGACCAGGCCCTGCACCCCAAGGAGGCCTCCGCAGCCTGCACCTGTGGGGCAGCCTCGCCCCACCACGCAGGAACCTCGCTCCACACCCCAGTGCTTTGTGAGCCCAATGGGACGGGACCCAGGGACGGCTGGGAGACCTGGCCTTGCAGGGGCCTGGGACCCCGGGGTCAGGACCGCCTGCGGCTGGGGTGGGGGCTGCGCAGAGGGAGGGGCCCCGCCTCACAGCACGCGCTCCGGGTTAGAAACTCAATGGCGCGATTGGACCCAGCTCAGCTGGTTAACGCAAGATTGTGACAATCGAGAAAACACATCTTTGTTTTCCATTTTCAGTAAGCAGAGCTTTAGAAAGAACATACCGCTCTAGAAACCACAGCAATTTTCCCCTAAAAGAATTAAAAGGAAGAAAAACTCCTTCTCAGCAACTGCAACTATGATGCGTTCCTGTCGAATGAATTACGTTGCTGAGAACGAATCTCTCCAGGACGCACGCGAGGTGGTCGGGCGCCCAGACGGGCTGGCCTCTGCTGGATTAGCCGGGTGATTGAACCTTACTGCCTCCGCCACGCCCCAAGGTTGAAGGCCACAGTGTTCTCAGTGACAATTTCATAGAGTTGGCAAAAGACACTCACTGCAGCCAGGAAGTGCCACCTCCGGCTAGTGACAAGTGACAAAGGAGGGCTTGAAGTGATGACCCGGCCTGGGCCCCTGGGGAGGGAGGGTCCTCCCTGAGCCGACAGGCTTCGTGTCGTGCGGCCCCGTAGGCCGGGCGAGACCCCCAGGGCAGGAGGCAGCGTGGGCCTCTCCTGGCTGCACAGCCGTGGCCCAGCCCTCCCCTGGGGTCCCCAGTCCGGGCGTTTAGGACGAGCAGCCAAGAAGGGCCTCACTCTCCGCTGGGCATAGCAGGCGCCGTCCCCCCGCACCGGCCCAGCCACACGTCTGCAAAGGCGTCAAGGGTCCCTCCCCGGCCCAGAGGTGGCAGGTGCGGTGCTCACGGAGGGCCGGGGCCCTGGACCCCGACACCTCACCAGCCTCGCAGGCCTGGGTCCCTCCTGGCCTCAGCCCTCCCTGTGGAGCGGGCACGGCTCAGGGCTGAGATGCCTGCTCTGATGCCGCACTGACCCCCCCATGCTGTGCAGCCTTGGGCAAGTCCCTTGACCTCTCTGTACCTCAGGTTATGCCTCTGTAAAACAGGGACAAAAGCCACTTACAGGGTACTTGTGTGCTTTATCTGAGTGAATATGTGCAAAACACCAAACAGTGCCAGATACGTGGTACAATATATACGTGACGGTGTCATCCTCCTCCCCACCATCACCATCCTCACCATCATCCCCATCAACCCCATTCTCATCACCACCATCATCATCACAATCATCTTCACCACCATCACCACTGTCCTCACCATCATCCTCACCACCATCATCCTCACCACCATCATCCTCACCATCATCCTCACCACCATCCTCACCATCATCCTCACCATCATCTTCACCACCACCATCACCATCCTCATCCCCATCACCATCATCACATTCTCTTCACCATCATCATCCTCACCATCATCATCTTCATCACCATCCTCATCCCCATCATCACCAATCACGCTCATCATCCTCACCATCACCCTCATCCTCATCCCACCGTCACCTCCATTCTTACTGCCTCCCTCGAAAGCCAAGAGCGAGGAGCCCCCTCTTCCCTGAGTGGCTGGACTCCCACCTGGGGATTTTGGGAGGTAATCTCGGCCCTGGCAGTGCCCACTCTTGTCCGTGACCCTGGCTTACCTGGGACCCCCACACCACTTCAACCGGGAAGCCTGGGGGGTGCCAGGTGACTGACGAGTCGCCGGGGGAGCAGGTGCCGCCCTAAACCCTGGGCCTAGTCCCTCCCTCCTGCTTGGTTTGGCCTCATTCATGATTTTTCGCATTTGCTGCCAACATTTAAAAACCTGGAGATTTCTCACGAATGCTCACTGCTGCCTCCTATTGACAACGGGAAACCACATCCCCACGTGGCAGCTCCCGTGGCTCCCGCCACCTCCCCAGCTGCCCTGGCCTCGAGCCCCAGTGCCTGGTCACCCACGGAAAACGGCCCACCCAGCCCGACCAGCACACCCCGGAGCCCGGCCTGGCCTCCCTGTCACAGCAAGACCCTGTGCA